AGAGAATATTATTCGTCATAATATTTGATCATCTTCGTAACAAAACTAATGGAATTAAAATTCTTAGAAACATCCTCATTTTAATAACACTTTAAACAGCAGATAGGTAATGAGATGCCCTTGGAGGAAAAAACCGCGTGGGTATCGGAACGCAAATCGCTTAACAGGTGCTGATGTGCTCTTTTTCTCTGCTTCGAGACGCCCGGCAGGAAACTGTGTGATCGCGCGAGATAATAAAAAAAAAAGTCGCGCGTGAGCGACCTGGGAGCGAAAGTGATGGGCGGATGTGATGTGGTCTGCTGTTGGAGAAAAATGTATATCGTTACAACACAGCGCGACTCGCACGTTTCCTCGCAGGAGAAAGTCCTCCGAGGCGTCGTCGTGCACGGCACGGTGATCGATACCATCGCGCGGCTCTTAAGCGGATCGTGCAGCTCGTATTGACCGACAATTTTCGCGCGGAGGAAGGTCACCAGCTAGCAGACATGTCACAATCATTGCCGTAATCGCGACGCGATCGATTGTGCCAATCGAATTGACGTTAACTGACTTTATTGTCCTTGTAACGTTACCGTACAGTAATGTATATTCCGCGCCTCGTTAATTAAAGTTTTCTATGTAAAAAAAATAAGTGAAGAAAGCAAAAATATTATTGGGCACCAAGATCTTTAATTAAGAAGCTTTGATCGTACTCAATCAAAGCGGGACTTGATGTCTAATAACACTGTGTAACCGTTTCAATTTTTAAAAGGTCACGTGAGTTTGTGTCAAGGCCTTCTATAATTTCCCCAAGGGATTTGGCGAAGTTAGATCTTGTAAGAATGGGGCATTGATTAAAGGTGTGTTTTGGAGAGAGGTATAAATAGCGCAATTTTATAATATTTTTTGCGCGAGTCTTGTAATTTCCAGTTTAATTTAAAATTTTCAAGGTATCGTTAAGTAGCACTGCACGTGGCATTTAGAAACTTTTTATGAATATTAATACATGAAAAGAACGATTTTGCTGATCTAAAAACTGAATTAAATATAAAAAAGGAAATAATTTTGTTGGACTATTAAAATAATTATGCAAGAATATCAAAACTTTTCGCAGCATTGCTTATTATGCTTAAATTTTTTACATAATTGATGTGATGGTCAAAACTATTTCCTGATCTATGTATCAATAGTTAAAATTTTTAATATTTCAGCAAATTCTTTCCGTGCGTCATCGAAAAATTGAAATTTAAGATTATTCTTTTACGTTTTTATATTTTTATATTTTCTGACTGTTGATTCGTTAGATTATTTAGATTACATATATAAAAATAGATTTCAATTTTGGTAGTATAGAAAGCATTTTCTGAACTATATAAAAATTTTATTAAATACAAATCCAAAAATAATTTTGTTGAATCACCAAAATAATTAATTAGAAAACTTAAGCATGTCGAACAATGCTGCGAAAAGTTTTGAGATTCTATAGCAATCAGTTTGAGCGTCTTACATTGTTAAATTCATAATGTTAAATTATACTCGATTTGAATTATTTTTAATTATTTCTATATAGATTACTACACTAATCCTACTCAATATGTCTAAGAGTGTATATAAATGTGTTAATATAAATATCATTTATATTGAAGTTAATCACAATGGATTGATTTACATTCAGATACAATATTTCAGCAAAACCTTTCATTCAATTCACAGAAAAAATTCTTTCCGTGTATAAACCGTACATAAAAAGGTGCATCTATAAACAGAGTGGATTACTTGTTATTTTTACTATTCGTGGTATATCCTGGCGAAGGACATAGGCAGATATTCATAGTCGATTTTTATATTTAAGAAACCTTGATTTTCATCATCAAAGCATTTATTTTGATGATGAAAATTAAGGTTTTTGAAAGAATTTTTGAAAAATAACTCTCTAAAATCTTTGGAGTGAAATCTAATTCTAAAGGTGGCCCTTATACGGTATCAATAATGCTGTCAGTATTAACAGTACTGATAATATTACTAATCGTGTGTGTTAATATTGATGGATTGACGTAGAATACTGACGGTGATCTGGATTTTGATTCTCAAGCATCAGTATCGCTTTATTAGGATTCATGTCACAGATTCATGTCGCAGTGTAATAAATGACGTAAAACTAAAATGAAATATATTGTCAATAATACTGATAATACTGATTGTAAGATTGTAAAAATATTAACACACACTGTCAGTATATTTACTGATTCAATATCACTGATTAGTATTATCGTAGGGTCTTTTTAAAGAATAAAATCTCACTCTTAAAAATTGACAATTTAGTCTCACTCTTTTTCAACACTGGCTCAATTATCACCCTTCGTCACTTTTTAGAATTAAATTCCACTTCAAAGATTTTAAAAAGGATATCAGCTGGTGATTGCAGATGATTTAGCTGATGCACCAGTGAATTTGCACCAGTGTGATATTTGAGAGTTAAGACATTATTTAACACAGTTTTGGAATAAAAACGGACTATGAGCGGTATTCATAATCTTCTTATTTTAAGACTATTCACTCAGAAAAGTGATCTTGCAGTTATAGCGAAAATTATCTAAGTACGAAAAATAGCTAAAATAGATCAATTTCAAGTGCTGCGATATTGGATATGTATTGCATCTAATCATACAAAAAAATAGCTACAATTCTAGCTGAAGTAGCAAAATATTTTGTACATGTTGTAAGTAACGTTTTAAGATGCTGATACAACTCTCTAATTGATTCGTAACACCTTAAGACCGTACTTACGGCAGTCTAAAATATAAGAACTACGAATACCAGCCTATCAATACCGGCCATAGTCTTCGTGCCGATCACCGTCACCCACGAGCTCGTCGCGCGCGCGGCCGATCCCTGACCGCGGCAGCGTCGATCGATATATCGGGAATGGCAGCCACGGCAGGGCCGCGCGTCACGCTAAATGTATGCGCGGCAACATACGCGGGGCCCTGCTTGGCATACACCTTGGCAATTCGATTGCCAGGCCTATCGTCCCTCGTAATCGAGACCTCGTTACCGATGTAAACGGCGACGTGCACCGCCGAGTCGACGCAGCCGACGCGAATCGCGTCGAGCTACACGAAACGTCGCGAGCGCCGCCGCCGCCGCCGCCGCCGCCGCGTCGTACGCGCCAATGGAAGTGGTCGAATCAACGACTGGTCAGACGTAGCGTCTACTCACGGCTGACACGTTTCACTTCGATCATCGACTGCATCGTGGCGACTCTCTTATAGTCAGACCCAGGAAAACTTTTCCCTATAACGTTGTATAACGCCAATATCTAACATATTTTTACCGTCACGTTTAAAGAAAGTAAATCTTTAGAATGAAAAAAAAATGATGCAAGTGTCATGTCATTTTTTTTTATTTTTTTTTTATTTAGAATAATACAAATAGAAATATAGAATCTGACAAGTGAATCTTATAGAGTTTAAAAATAAATTGCCATTTTTTTTTTTTAGAAATAATAATAATAGTAGCTTTTTATTAAATAGCACTTTCTTTCGCTCAAATATAAATTTATTATTTTTCAACATTTTCTCAAAGGTTAAAGTACTAAGGCCAAAATGTCACGTTGATATAAGTAATGCAAGTCAAAAAAAATCGCTAATCTGATTATTTAATTCAAACCGTCAGTGGAGCTCTGATTTAGTGACTGGAAATCCTATTCTTGATCACTTCTGTTCTCCAGTCGGAAATCATTAATATAGTTTGCTATATTCTTCGCTGACATGCCAAACTCGTGGATTTGCACTATTTTAAATGTATCAGTTGTGCTTTTATGGATATATCATTACTCCCACGTTACGTGCCAGCTATTATCTTATTAATATGTATCATTATAATGTACGCCCCCGTATGCTTCTACGACTTGCTTACGTGTGTTATATTTACGGTAACTAAGCCCGTAGTCCTAAAGAATGTCAAACAGTTTATCGTATGCAACATCACAGCGGACGCTACATATTTGATTATCTTAGATTTTGAAGATTATCGGAACTCGTATAAATAACGAGTCATTACTTACTGTGATGTAGAACAAGTGATAATCACTACAATAATCGAGCACAATGGAAATGTCACGTATTAGATTTCTATAAAAATTACAATTTCTTCGCAGAATTCTGAAAATCGTTCGCCGAAAGTTTGTCAAAGTTTGTGCGCAACCACGTAATTCAACGTAATTTGATATATATCACAGATTTCTTCACATCATTCATCTCAAGACGAACAATCGCGCGATGTAATTTAATCTTACTAGTTCAAATTTATTATACGATACATATTGTTTATTTGGGCCAATATGATTGAAAATATTCTAAAAAATAAGACAATTTTTCATAAAAAGAAGGTCTCTTCCATTAAGAGATGAAATTAGCAAATTTTGAAGGAAAACATTTCCAATAAAATATTAGTAATAAAATGAGTTACGTTTTGACTAGCAGGATTAAAAAAAAACAGCTAGTCTCCAAATGGCAAAATAGAATAGGTCAAACTTTCCCACAGTATCAGCAACAAATTTCTTTAATTGTTTAGAGAAATGCAATAGTCTCTCAATTACGCTTAACACTCGAAACTTTGACAAACGAAATGCGACAGCCGAAGTTTGCACAAGTCACTTTGACGATTCGTGGAACGAATTACGTGGAAGCGAATTGTTTAAACAGGAGTCCGATTGTGCATCTTGGAATGAGACGAAATGATTACAAAAGCGAATAAATTCTGAACTAGAATATTTATATAATTTCATTGATCAACATCTAGTGAATTTGTTCATTTTTATAACTTTCACCTGGTTTCAAGATACACACAATCGACCCCCAGCTCCGAAAAACGAACGAGAGAGAGAGAGAGAGAGAGAGAGAGAGAGAGAGAGAGAGAGAGGTGCAGAAAGATATAAGAAAAGAACGAAGTGACTTTCGAACGGTCTTGTTGTTGCCTAGGTGGAGGCATACATGACGTACACTCGAGTTGACACTTACGGTTGAGGAGGTCGAACACTCTCCAGCGTAGATAGTCACCGCTGGGAACGTAAAAGAGAAGCGCAACGTAGCGATATGGAGAGAAGAGAGGCACTGCGACGTCGAGAGAGCGGAGAGAGAGAGGGAGGGTGGCGGGGGGGCGGGGGCGGGTTCTGGGATACCTCCGCGGGCCTTGCTCGAGATGTAAGGGTAGCACAACCGAGCACCGTGAGACGACACACTTAAGATATACACTTTCACACCGACGATGCAGAAGAAGAACGACCGACGAGAGACGCGTGGCGCTAAAATTTCGCCTCGCGCGATGTCCCTCCACCTGCGTGCCTATACGCGTGTCGCCGTGTATAACACGCGTGTACGGCCCCTCTCCGTTCCTTCGGTTCCACGCCACGAATTCCGTTTCTTTCTTATCTCTTCCTTTTTCTTACTTCTTTTCCTTCAGCCTTCGGCCAACGATGGCGACCACGCACGACGGCTGGTACGAGGCGCTATCTCTTTAGTTTCGAATGATTTTCCCTTCTCCGTATCTCTTGCTTCACTTTCCTTTCAATTCTCCTTCACCGTGATAAGATCTTTTCCTTCCCCTCGTGTTCTTCTTCTTCTGCCTCTTCCTACTCCACCACCTCCTTCTCCTCCTTCTCTATTCTTCACCGCAGCGGCAAGGACCCGCCCCGTGTCGCGCTACACGAACGTGTAGTGGATGAAGAGAGCGTAAAACTTGCTCTGCGACAACATTATCCGGCCGGTTATCGGTACCTCGGTTGCCTCGTCATTTCGTCTCGCGTCCGTTCTACTACGGTCTAAGCCGCCCGCGCGCCGCAACAAAAATTGATCGCGTTGCGCGCGACGGTCCCTTCCTCGGGGGACAGGCCCGTCGACGCGGTCGACGCGTTCGTGTCCGGCCGCCGCGCGCCGCGCGCCACGTCCGCGGTCCGCGTCGCCCGTGTTGACGCGGGGCTATTCTCCTTAACACCCCAGGTTCCGTTCACGTAAGCGTCCGCCACCACTTCTCTCGGCAGTCTCGGCGCCGTTCTCCCGCGCTTTGGCTGCGCCACCCTTGGCTGCTTCCTAAGCCGCCGCGCCGCGCCGCATCGCGCGACCAGTCTTTCTTTTCTCCACTCCCTTTATCCCTTCCTCGGGAACTCTCTCACAGCTCCCTCACTGCCGCACGTTCGTACACATACACGCACACACACGCACGCACCCACACACTCCACGCGTGCGCGCGCGCGCACGCGCGTGCATACGCTCACGGACACGCGGGCACCACACAGGCACACGCACGCGCGCGCGCTAACACACACGCGAAATCGGACGCGGACGAACACAGCCGCACGCGCGCGCACACGGGAACGATCGTTCTCTTTATCCCTCTCTCTGTCCCTCTCGCTTCACAACCCTCCCTCAGTGGCCGCGTTCCTTCTCCCTCGAAGCTATGTCCTCCTTCGCTCTACCTCCTCCTCCTCCTTCTCCTCCTCCTCCTCCTCCTCCTCCTCCTCCTCCTTCTCCTCCTCCTTCTCCTCCTCTCCTCCTCCACCTACCACTGTTCACTCTCGCCCACTCTTCCCTCCCCTTCTATTTTTCTCCGTCTCTCTCTTTCAACCCTCCTTCGCCCTCTCCCTCGCACCTCGAGTCGCCGTTGGCACTGTTCTGCACCCCTTCGGCGTAGCCCGACGTTCAACGTCGTCTTCACGTCTCTCACCCTCGGAGCAACGCGGCCGGCACGAAGGGTCCCTCGCTGGTTACGCCAAGCCCGAGGCTTTCGCTCTCACGCGAGTTCTTCACTCTCTCGACGAGTCCACCCTCGAACTCTCTCGCTGGTACTTCGTACCCTCCAGATTCCTCTACGCTATGCGTACTTCGTGCCGCGAAAGCGACTCTCCTCGGTGCCGACTGTCACGATCAGTCGAGCCGACGCGGACCGTTACTGCATCACCACGCGCCAGTCTTTCGCGCAGCGGACTCCGCGGAAACTAATCACCCCGCTACACCTCATTCGCGATCCGCTACGCGAACTAACCCCCGCCACCTTCGTCGACCACCCTGCGCTCTGTAAAGCCGCGTCGCGATTCTGAGTCCGCGCCGAGATCAGCGTCGCGACGATCCCTCGAGGACGATTCGGACTGGCTGGCGGGAACCGAGGTGACGTTGCGACCATCACTGATCACCACCCCCGTGAACGGAATTGTCACGGGTGAAGGGGGGGGGGAGAGAGGAGGAAAGAGGGTAGCGATTTTTTTTTCTTTTCTTCCTTTCTTTCTTTTTCCTTTTTATTTCGAGAATGCGAGCCTTTCCCCATGGCGTAGCGACAATATCATCGAGACAGCACGGGGCGAGATCAATGCTCCGTTCAGGGCTTGTAAGTGCTTGCGTGGTGCGCTTCCGTAGCACAGGGTGGATCAATGAAAACGTACCCCTCCACCTCGGTGTCGTAGACGTGGCCCCGCGCCACCCTTTGCCGCTTCGCAACGGAGGAAAACGCGGTACCATACCGCGCCACTTTTACTACCACCGCCTGAAAACATTCACCCGCACCCTCTACGACCATACCCGCGAGCTTCAGTAAGCTTGTCCGCGAGGTTTACCATCGCGTTGCGAATACGTTACATCGTGCACGTCTTCGTTAACTCGATGCTCATATGTGATTTGTTTCACTCCCAGTGTGTAAACCTCTTCTCTCTTAAGTCTCTTCTCAATTTTGCAAATAAAATGTTAAATACGGAGCGTATTGACATATATGTATAAAAATAAGGGATTGATGGAAAGTCGATGAATTAAAAGTCAAGATATGAATTAAAATAAATGCATACAGTTTTCATATATTTGCGAAAAATATAAAAATATGTGAATACACAGAAAATACAGTGATATATCATCAGTAGTTAGTACGTTTAATACTTTAATACGAAACATAGGAAACGAATATCATAAAGAAAATTATTACAAAATGTAGTACAACTTATTGTAAGATATGTATATTTCGTAAATCTCGTGCATACAATCAGCGTTCAATTACAAATTATCTAAAAAAGTTCATTCATTCGTTGCACAAACTAGCATACCGTTCTCTCATAGCATATTTACAAATAAATGTGATTGCTCCTATTCCCTTTTTTATCAAGTATCAACAAATAATATATCCTCTTAAAATATTAAAACAGAGAACTAGAGGAGTATTCTAACATTTTGCTAAGCGCTAATACGTTATGAGAGAACGAATTATATCACTCACATTTATCACACTGATATCAGATCCGAACTACTAGTCGTGTAAAAATATATGTGTTGTATAAATATAGGAATATCTCTTTGTGAAGAACAATAGGTTGTGTAGCGATGTACCTACATGTACACGCGACATACGAATAAACCACATGGCACACGAACGGCGAGTTCATCGATTTAAATAAGCGTTGCCATGTCGTTTCGGCATTCTGCGAATGCAGAGATACAGGCCAGTGATGACCATAATGAGCAAAGGGAGACCGAGGCCAATCGAGATAATCATAATGACTAGAGAAGAGAATCTCTCCTCGGGTGGTGTGCCGTATCCAATCATAAAAGTCCTGTAAAATTTAAAATGCAACATTTTATTAATAATAATTCAAGAGAATTATAATTCGTCATTAAATTTTTTAAATAAAATAC